CTCAATTTTTTCCGTGATTGGCGGGTCATCATTGACAATGTTGGATTTCATCTCCCTATCTTATTTTACATGAAAATGGGTAAACTGAAGGTGGAAAATGATTCTTCAAGTGGTGACCAAATTAAGTAAGGTTCATGGAAATGCTATGCAATATTAACCGACATAATAAACTGGCTAAAGTGAAAGTGGGCGAACCTTTCTAAGTGTACATGAAAGTCTTACATAGAAGTCCTACGGGATGTCATATGTTACTGCATGTTTTAATTACCTCTATGTTGCTGTATATTGCAGGCTACTACCGTTATGGAGGAAAGTACTGAACGTTGAGATCCTTGCTGTAGGTGTACTGGCTGGGATAGCTGCATCGGTGTCCGCCATTATTATCATTGTCAGTCCCAACTCTCTCCCCGTGCCATGCTACATCAACATCAGCAGACCTAACACCTGATCGTCATTCAAACAGCGGCGACCCCATTATCATCTCTTATGTCACATGTATCAGCGACGTCTGATTTCGTGATGAAATGGAAAACATGGACATCTGATCATGCGAGATTCTTCCTATATTCATAAAAGAAGTTGATAATTAATATATTATTTGACAATGTATTAATCTACAGAAGATCAATGCATCCATGTATCAGGGATTGTAATACAATCTGGCATTATGATTTATAAATGTTTATGTCAGTGCTTTATCGCACGTTGATAAAAAATAAATAGAAACAAAATAAAACAGCGAGAATCGAAAAGCCGATTCGGTCACTATTCACGTTCGGGTATTTGAAATTGAGCTTGGTATAAATGATTTTTATCAAAGTTTCTTTTTTGAAAGAAAGAAAGGAGAACAATTATTTTTAATAATAATTATAATAACAATACATCTATTTCCCCATTTCGTTTTCTATCTTTATAAGTGATTTGGTTAAAGAAATCAAGGGTGTCGACTTAGATATTCTTATCTGCATTATAACCATTGGACAATTGTTACACGCCGACAATGTTGCACCCTTAGCAGAAACTGAAGTAGGACTATTAATGATGTTTGATATTGATTGGTGTAAAAAGTGGCAGTTGCTTTCAAATGAAGCGAAATAAGAGTGGCATAGAGACTGGTGGAGTGAAATAAAAGTTGATAACGGAAATAAGTTTCAAAGTTATAGATGAATTATACAAGTATGACTTCTATACGAAAAGGTATGTTCTAAATGTATTAAATCCTAGAATCCATCGAAGAATTCCTAGTTCCTTCAGATATAAACTGCCTATGGCGGTAGAATCAGGTTTAGTTAAAGTTTCTAGATGATAAAACACATGCATTAATTGACTGTTAACTTTATTCTGATATAAAATTTAATTGTTTTTAGATATGAACAATGTTTTTGAACATTTTAATAATATTAATAATATTGACCAGTGTCTGCGAATTATGAATTATGCAGACAGCAAACTTTTATTTTCCATTTTATATGAATGTTTAATTGAAGAAAACAAGAATACATAACGTAATATTTGATGTCATGAATGTTTAAGATATGCTTCGGCATTCATTCAGAGAACTAAAGTATATAATAAGCTAGTATGGCTGGGCATGTTTGAATTCAGATACAAAATTGTGAATGACAATTAAATGAAATGAAAGAAAGGGGCTTGTTCAGAATAATTCGAATCGCCCGGAATTTAGTTATGTGTAATTAATACCACAAGTATGTCTATGTTGGGTTTTGTTCGTTTTTTCAATATGTCTACACAAATACATTTTTCGTTCTGAAACCTTTGTTGTGTGGTATTGATAACATAGTCGCTCTAGGTTAACTCGATACATTTGTTATCTTTGTAGGGTTAATTTGACAGAACATACAAGATTTACCACTTTGATTAATATGTATTTGTCTTAAGAATTTCTCTTTTCCTTTATTCGGCTCATGCCGTTTAGAGGTAGTGCTAGGTTCATATTACCAACTTTCCATAAAATCTGTATATTTGTCTTGTGCTCATTTTTCACTTTTATGTTTCATCTATAGACTAGTAAACATACATGCTAACACTTTTATATTGAAATGATGCACTGCTATTTCCAGGCTCAAAATGTATAAATATACATATATATGTTTGTATAGCCCTTTCATTCCAATATGGATAATGTCAAGTTAAAACTAAAAAGAAATATCCTTACCGTCCTAAGTCACCGATCAATGCGTTAATAAGTTGTAAAATAAAACAACTAAACCACTGCGATAATTCACAGGGGGAAAACGGAACAAAAATTCCATTCCAAAAGACAAAAACAAAAACAACATTATAGATATAGATACCGATATCAGAAGATTCTTTCTATAGCTTCTGTCAGGATATCTCCAAACACATCTAGGAAAATGGGATGGTCCAAACGAATTAAGGCATGGTGAATATCAAACATTTGCGGTTCCAGAGGTAAGGTGATATATAATATATTTTAGCGGTCATTCGATTTCTACCAGAGTGGGTTTTGTCTTTAGGATAAACACACAAAGAAGTTTCACTCTTTCAATCACAGATTCATTCTAAGTAGTGTTCATGTTTTGATAAAACATCAACAACAATATAATTGCATTTGAAGTTTTGACAGACGGTTTCCTACCTTTGTTCCGGATGTAGTCAAGAGCAATAATTCTCTCAACAATTTTAGAAGATTTCCTCAGTGGTAACTGTGTACAGCAGAGTACGGTGGTTATGGGCGACCTTTTTGTACGATGCATAACCCCTATGATATTACATGTATCAAAATTAAAAAAAATATCAGCACCAAAATTGGTATAGACATGATGACGTGGACTTTGTGGGCTTCATAATGTTTACAGAAAAAAAGTTGTATTTGATTGAGAGTACAGTTTTGGCCATATACTATGTGTCTACACAACAAAGGTAAGCTTTCATGTAGTCTATTTTTGTACTTACCAAATGTGTAAATATTGTGAAAAATCCACAAGACCATAATGGTATGTTTTCATTAAAGAATTATTCACGGACACCCACACAAAAGCAGAGATTTTACATGAACAATTCCAGTCAGTTTTCACAAAACCTGACCCAAGAACATCTGCAGATTTTAGACAAAAATATAACATACCAAACCACCAACCTGAACAACATACATATAAGGTACTTATATACTTTTCAATCATTATATCAAATCTGGTACTGTGCCCAATGATTAAAATCGCACATATTTCCCCTACATTTAAAAAAAGAACAAAATATAATCCCAAAAACTGTATGTCTATTTCTTTGACTTGAATCTGCATTAAATTAGTTGAACACATACTTGTCAGTTCCAGCATGACACATGCTGATAACAATAACATCTTATATAGTCACCAGCATGGTTTCAGACAAATTTGGATATTTACAAACAGATTGATGTTCTCATACTCGATTTCTCTAAGTTTTTGACAAAGTCAGTCACAACTTGCTTCTTCACAAACTCTACCACTACGACATCAGGGGAATGTCCACACCTGGATCGGACATTTCTATCTAATCTTACACAATCAGTCATACTCGACGGCGAACAATCTACCTGCGTTCCAGTGGATTCAGGGGTCTCCCAGGGGTCGGTCCTTGGACCGAGTTTGTTTTTATACTATATCAATGACATGATCCTCGGTTTCACATCCTCAATTAGACTGTTCGCCGACGATACTATTGGGTATACAACTGTCTCCACCAGTGTAAAATCTAAAACCTTAAAAGACTCGCGGATTGGGAAAAAATGTGGAAAATAGAATCCCATCCCCAGAAATGTAGTGTTCTCAACACACAAAAAATAAAAACCCATTAATTACAATTACTACATTGTACCTACATGGTCACTGCTTAGCACACACTGACAAAGCAAAATAAATAGGTGCCTAATCCAGCAAGATCTGAAATTGGAATCCCACATTAACAACATAACAACAAACTTCATTCGGCGCAACTTAAAAGTAAACTCCAAAAATATTAAAGAACAAGCATACAAATATCTAGCGCGCCCGTCTTTAGAATATGCTAGTTGTGTGTGGGATACTTACCAAAAAGGTGATATACACAAACGTGGTATGGTACAGTGTAGAGCTGCAAGATTTGTCACTAACCGCTACTATGACACCTCAAGCGTTTGTGACATGATCCAACATCTTAACTGTCCCAGCCTCGCTGATAGACGTATGGACACACGTCCTCTTATAATGTATAAAATATCGTATAAAAAGACCCCAATTTGACACTACAGTTATGATAAACCAGACAGCATCATCACTTCTATCAGATTCCTCACTGTAAAGATGACTATCGCCTATTCTCTTTCTTTCCTAGAACTATCCCAGAGTGGAATAAATTGCCTCCTGACCTGGTTACTTCAGAATCTATTGACTCCTTTAAAACCAAACTTCACTCTCTCAATAATTAGTGTTTCATACACACGACTACACATCCTTCTTTGCCATGCACACACTCTCCCAACCCAACATTGACATAATCTTCAATATGATGAAGTAGGTCAATTATTCGGTAGACATAGTCGTAGACATGAGCATTTGAGTTACCGAGAAGGTGATATTTAATCTAAGACAGCTTTTTTGCGGGGATCAATTTTGGGTTGGAATAATACTTTGTTGTTGCATTTTAGCGGTTTTTGATGCGGTAGCCATAGTTTGGACAAGTTTGAAATGTGGGGAAAAACTTATATTGAAAAAGTGATTTTTCTAGAATAAATAAATGTATAATGTAGTTTATAAATATATATATGTATGTGTGTTAGTAGATGAATCCGTATCTACGACATGACCTTTAGGTTTAGGATCAGGTCATTTCTACTGTACACTGCTACCAGTGCCGTGAGACAAGTTAATTTGTCTCGCGGTCAGTTGATCTGATTGAACCAATCATGGACAATGTAACATCGACGTGGTATACGTTTACCATTTAACTTAAAGTACACACACATGGTCACTTCTGTAGTTGTTAAAACGTGTGCACCCTTAGGATATATCGGATATGTGGTTCTTTCCTACGTCATTCTGAACAGCATGAAGTAAAATGTATATAAGGATTTTTGTTTTGGGTTTGCAAGGTAAGATATCTCATTTTCTCATTTTGTAGTACTTACAACGAAGAAACTGTGTCAATCAGATTTACATTATGTAGGAATCCGATAAAAATACAACTAGGAACACTAGTGTATCGATTACTAATATAAATGATATTACACTTATCACTAAAATCAAAATAATAGCGTTCAGATATAATCTTGTTTAGAAATATCAATAAGTATTTTTTCCAGATTTATTGCCAGTTTTAACTGCACCGGCTTTGTTGTTGCTCATCATGTGTATGTATTTTTCAGCCAAGCAAGTGACATGACATGAATATCGCACATACATCATTACGAAGTCTTCCAGGAGTGGCCGTACCGTTGTGACATCGTTACCACTGTGTGAGAGGTTCATACTACATTTGATAGACCATGTCAACTGAAAATCTAGTAGGTGTGATATGGATACAACAAAACAAACTAGACACACAATTACCTAAGGGTAGTGTTTGATTTGATATGTGATGTTTTACGTGAATGATGTAAAATACTTTCGTATTGTGTAATTATTGTAATTACTTTGACATCACACATCATATAAATACTGAATGTTATGTATTATGTGATAACTCTGAATACTCTGTAACTTACCACACTCAAAGTCCAGCGCAATGCTTGATATCAAAGACTATTACGCCATCATATACAAACATAGCAACACATTCAAGGACGCTTTCTTTTGATTCAAAACATGAATATAGCTGGTTGTTCGTTATGACAGTCTTATCAAACATGAGTAACAAGTAGGCGCTACTGTTTTGTTTAAAAATGACCCAGAGCTATTTCTTTAGTCATACCGATACAAATGTGTTATTATAGAGTGTCCGAAAGTAACCTCAATTACCTTATCACAGTTAAGCAATTACGGCCCATAGACACTGCCGCGGGCTAAAGTCATGCATTCAGTTGTTATTAAAATTCATCTTACGTTTACATTAGTGTCCTGCGGCTTGTTATAGTACAAATGTACAGTGGTATAGAAAGCCAATATATATCCAGTTAGAAAATAAAAACATAAAAAGGGTAACTGATTCAAACATTTGTAATGAGAGAATCAAATCTCAATGCTTATCATATATAATCATATTAACAACATGTCTTTAATACTGATATTCAATAGTACTTTACTTACAAGTCACATTAAAGGAACATATACATTTACAAGGATGTAAAAACTAGGTGCATATTTAACAAAAGCTTTTTCAACCATGGTTTGGTAGTGTTTTACTGTCTCCGACTGACTCGTTTGTTTCCCGTTGAACATCAGATCAGTACATTTGATATATACTTATAAATAGGAAGGTATCACCAGATTCATACATTTATAGTTATAAGTTTGATTACATCTCTTGCACAACTATGGATACGTTTTTTTGTAAAAAGAAAAAAATGTCATAAATCATGTTGTCTGTCATGTTTGCCTTATACTTAAGACAATGAGTACGCTTCATCGTAAGTTGTAAACGATTTGATCATCAACAGATACAGTTGTTTGTGTCCCCGAAAACCAATTTGTTCTCTTTACCTTTTAGATGGAAAGGTATGTTATTTGTAATGCCTTGTGTGTGTTATCAATATAAATGTATAGGCCTAGTCTATAATTGGGACTCTGTAAAAAGATTATTATATTTCATGTCTACCAACTTCTATGTAGAATATGTTCACTTATTTCCATGAAATACCTTATGTCATAATACAAATATTTTAATGTGTCTCTTAATTCTTACATTTACTTATTAGACGGCATATTATAAAACCAAAAACTGGCAAGTATCTTTATCTGTATGTTGTCTGTAAAATGCCATAAGCTGATTTCTCAGAAATTATGTTTCTCAGTTTACAGTTCATGCCATTGCTTGCTTCCGGCTTTTTTTTTTTATTCTTTAGTGTTTTTGTTTTTGCTTTTGTTTTGATCCATTTTTCTTCTTTGTATCGATTTAAGTACCGTATGTGTCCTTTAGTGTTACCACTGTGGTGAAAATTTACCGTTCAACTTTACAGTTATTTGTTATGTTTTCTATAACCCTCAGAACTATTTCATGTCAACCTTGTTACACTGAAACAAAACGGAAAACATATATATATGTCTCTCATAGGGGCCGCGGTGGCCAAGTGGTTAAGGCGTCTGACATTCTGTTACCACTAGCCCTTCACCACTGGGTCGCGGGTTCGAGACCTAATGACGTGGGGCAGTCGCCAGGTACTGGCCATAGGTCGGTGTTTTTTCTCCGGGAACTCCGGCTTTCCTTCACCACCAAAACCTCGCACGTACTGAAATTACCAAAGCTGTTTATACGACGTAAAACACAAACAAACCAAACCAAATATATGTCTCTCACATCTCACAACATTTAAGAGCTTCGCAAAAAAACCTGAATGAGAAATAACATAACTTCTAAATTAGGTTAGTTTCCGTATGATTATAACACGTGATCAAAGAGGTTTTTATATCTATACTGAATTATTATAATAACGTTAACAGTATTTCATTTAAATTCATAATATAATACCTTTTAGCATTAAATACTATATGTTGGTATTTATTAGATTTCTTTTGAGAAATAGCAGAAATCAAAATATGATTTCAATGAATGCTTTATTCATAAAGGCAATATTTACATAAAACATTGAATAACCAAACAAAAAATGCTAGGAGAATTTTTCGTTGATGGCGATTATGCACGACGTTTTAAGTTTACATATATATGTCCTATTGTTAATAGCATGTGTAATATTAAGACTGCACATGAAATTATTACATATATAGCAGTACAATACGTTTCTATTCAGATCCACAGGGAGAGGGGATTAACCATTCCGTCCACTGCTGTGTTCATTGCTGGTGATGTTGCAGGTACTGGGATACTGGCTCTTCCCAAGGCTGTTGATAATATAGGTAGGCATTCTTTGGCGTTGCATTAATCTTTTATATTTTCACTTGATTAAACTTAATGATAACATACTTCAACCACCCTAAGGGTTTTATCAATACTGTTATATTTGTTCTAATTCATTAAAATGAATAATAAAATAAATCTGTATTTTTTGTCATGGTCGGCTGGTAATATCAACTCGCTATTGAGTTGATTCAGGTATTTTAACAATTAAGTAGATCGAATTATAATAGAATATTTTTGATAATTGATACAAAACGATCAGTGCGTTGTTATGATCTTACCTTTTATCTATAAATCTGCATCATAGCTGGTATATTATCTCAACTCTTCGAAAAAGAATGTTCTATCGTTCTCACAAACATTCAAGGATATCAATTACTTCTGAATGACCGTTTGAGTACATAAAAGCTAACTCATAAACAAACAAAAAATGTATTTCAACGCAAGTCGTTGCCTCGAGTAGATCTTTGTTCAACAGAGTGATAATACCAGATCTAATTACTTCCTGGTTTTATCTGTCAAACGTAACGAACTCAATAGATATTTGTTTAGAAAATTTCTGAAGTTTACTTCCATTAAAGATATGATACCTATATTTCCTCAGGATGGGTTGGACTGATATTGATGTTGGTGTTCGCGGGTCTGTCGACATACACAGGTGCGCTCTTAGGAGAAGCTTGGACTATGGCCGCTTCCATGTTTGATGACTGTAAAGGACATGTACAGAATCCCTATCAGCTACTCGGAGAGAAGACCTACGGAAAAATCGGCAGGTAAATCACACTGGTGTATTCTAAAGATATTTATATGATATGTAAAATTCCCAATAACAAATGTTTTTGTGGGTTTCATTCTATCTTAAAAGAATTAGTTTGACTAATTTTTACTATCATTTTATCTTAATACTTCACTACTAATTATTTGTGGGCTATGGTCAATTAATATTTCAGAATTAACAATAGGAAAATATCACTTTGGGTTTTTGATGATTTCGTTCTCGAAAGCACAAAATAATTTGTCATTCATTATTATGTAGCAGATAACAAAATGGAAAATTACAAAGTAATCAAATCAGGCTGCATTGTGATGTTTCCAATTCTATTCCGTTAAATTAAATGAATAACCCATTTATGGTAGAGTATCTACACATAACACATGTAAATAGCCTTTTTTGTCAAATCCGCTTAGCTCTACACAATAATATACTGATCAACCGAATAAGACATCACCTTCTATAGCTGTTTATTCTAAAAAATAAACATTTTTTTTTTTCTACTTTATTTTCTAAATATTAACGTAATGACTTACGCCCATAATTAAAAATTAAAAGGTACTGCTTTATTCCTACATGGTCAACGCAAATGAAACACTTCTCAAAGGCAAGATGAGGCAGTATATTCTTTTCTTAATCGAAGTGAATGTTATCCAATTTAAATCGTAATGAGTAAAGCTTTGAGCAATTGGAGACTTTTATTGTTGTTCTTCCGTAATTTGCTAGTTAGAAAACATTCCATTTCGCGTACCCTCACATTTGATTTATTAAATGGTGGCTAGTAAAAACAAGTATTGATAAAAAAAGGCTGTATTAGTTCTATAGAGGGTCATCGTACAATGTTGTAGACAAAATTAACAATTCAGTAGGTGAGATTTTTGCGGATGCAATAGTGTTATTTCCTTATATTTTTATTAAAATGAAAAACGCCTGTATTAATATGAACTATCTATATCTATGTTCGTTTCTGTCTGAATCATTATGCGAAATACTATCGGAATGTAATAACAATGATTTCTTTCCAAACATTGAATGTCATGTTCATGCATTCGCTATTAAAACCTCCTCTTGCTTCAAACAATATGGTGTTTATGCTTGAAGTAAATCTGTAGACTCACTTGATTACTTTTATAATACAGATACGCTGTGTCCGTAAGCCTACACGTGTCCATGTTTGGAACAGCTATTGTGTTTCTCCTCCTGTCCGCAGACAACATAGAAATGTTATTCAGAGCTCTGGGGCACGACATCTCTTTCTGTTTCTGGTTAGTGATCATCGCCGGATGTTTGGTTCCTCTAACCTGGTTCGGAACGCCAAAAGATTTCTGGTAAGATAACTAAAATCATTAGTAATTGGATTTGTGCAATTGTCTTATAATTTTTATATTTGCTACATGAAGATGCGAGAGTTCTACCTGCTATCTCAGTAGGAGTATTGCTTTGTTTGTAATAGATTATGTAATCAATTATGATGGATGTTACCAAAGTTCATACATATTGGTTCACTTCCCATGTAAAGCAATATCTCATAACTGAATTTTCGAGAGATTAATGAACATAAGCCTAGGTATCAGGTTTTGTGCCATTCGAACATATATAATACACATTAATTCTATATTTTAGACTGAAATTCTATATTTGTCAACAATAACTGTAGACTTCAGTACATATTACGTATACGTAATTCACTGGACGCCCTAAATGTATTTGAGTCCCGTTTGAAAGCAGGAGAAAAGAAGACAGATGAAAACACCCCTCCTCTTTTACTATAGGTTGATTGGCTATGGGGCCACAGTAGCCACGGCGTTAGCAGCGGTCATCATAGTGATTAGTATTGGCCTTGATTCACCCAATCAGCCGACCGTTCACCACCAAACTGTTGACTTTCAGAATACTGTGTTAGCTTTTGGAACCCTTGTGTTTACATTTGGAGGCCATTCTTGTTTTCTTACTTTCCAAATGGACATGAAGAGAGAAAAGGATTTCAAAATGGCTGTCATTTGTGGATATGTTGGTAAGTAAAATAGAGTTAGTTACCACCACAACACAAAAAAAAAGTTTGTTTCTTTTTAACTCAGATTCTTACAAATAAATATTTACTAGTGCATTCTAAAGATGATTTGAGAAGTAAACGTTTATATGCTTGAGTTCGCTTTTTCTTTTTTCAATAATTTATGTTCATAGGCTGCACCAAAAAATATTGTATACTCAAATAGCAGTGAACATATCAACACAAAATAAAGAGGCAGTCAGAGTTGATACGAAGATATAAAGGGTACCATGGAAGACGCAAAGCAATTAAGTTATCTAACCCATTTCAGAATGATATAAGCATCAACCTGGTTAATCATCGTATGCACGGATTTGCCAAGGACATGTGTTGAAAGTATCATTGTTTAAAAACGTTGATGCATGACACATGCTGTTCTGTCCTGACCCAACACTTTGACTGGTATGTTCGTGTGATCATGGCTTTGTTTCTATGTTGTAGTTGTGTTACTGATGTATTTGCCCGTGACGTCGGTCGGATACTTTGTGTACGGGGTGGACCTGCAGCACAATGTGATGAGTAACTTACCGACCGGACCTCTGTCCTACATCGTAATGGTCCTGGTCACCATACATCTACTGCTGGCCTTTATCATAATCCTCAGTCCAACGATCCAGGAGGTCGAACTGACACTAAACGTGCCTATGGGTACTTATCATTAGTAATGTCCTTGTTTGTCGTTATAATGGGATGGGATGCCATATATTTTGTGTCTTATTGAAGAAATCAAGTATATAACTATTTCTGATATATGCTGTAACGAAATAGCTTTAGACTCTCCTTCCTCAGAAATGGTAAGGAATTTATTTTGTTTTATATATAATTGGAAATGACAAGCTAGGTTAAATTAGTTATGAGCTGTTTTGTAGCGACAAGGACCCCAACAAATCATATTCCGTGATGTCAATTAGTATCAGAACACAATCTGGAACTTTGCGCTATCTTATTTAAAATCGATTACATTGTATCTGTTTTCATTTTCAGAATTCACATGGAAGAGATGTGTTGTAAGACTCCTCATAGTTGCATGTATATTGTTCATTGCTGAGACCATACCAAAGTTTAGTACTCTATTATCTTTGATGGGAGGATCTTCATTTACGATGACTGATTTCATATGTCCAATATTATTACATATGAAAATGTGTAAAATGAAGACTGAATACAAAAGTTCATTAACACATGACAATAGTTTGGAAATACAAGCAGCATGGACTAAACCAAAGGAGTAAGTATATCACATGCATATTATATGTAATGATCATATGTGTTACAATGTCTACGTGATATAACCACGAACAATCATGTGTGAACCGCTTTGAGACGACCTACCAACTAGTTTGTGATAAAGCTGTTTAAAAGAACCTCGAATTATTTTTATTTGTGCGTTTTGTTGTAAATAACTCATACGAAATTGTTTCTTGTATATTGTATCTAAAAATAACATTGTGTTGATTAATGATTCTGTGTTTTGTTAGTTATTGTTGTGGCTTTTATTCTATATATGAGATTGTGTTGTGTTTTATAGGTTACTACCACTATGGAAGAAGTTACTTAACTACGTAATCATTGGAATCGGGTTACTGGCTGGGTTGGCTACCTCGGTGTCTGCCATTATTAACATCGTCAGTCCTGATTCCTTTTCTATGCCTTGTTACGTCAGTCTCGGTTCCGATGCCCTCTGATATTAAAAGAAATCGGTACAACAACAGGAACACAACACTGCCTAAAAGCAACTACAATACTCAGCGACAACAGGAGATGAAACAAAACTGTTCAAAGCGAAAACAAAATGAATTGACAGGAAGAATTCTAAAAGACAGCATTATATCGACTCATCGGAATGATGCCTTGCAATAAAAACAGCTAAGATACACATATTCTTAGCAAAACAAACAAACGATACACTAGAATCTTTCCTATGAATGACAATAAAACATTCACTGAGACTACTTTCTAAAATCGACGAGGCTTACTTCTGATATTGTTTTCTTCACCAACGTAAAACAAATTTTGTCTTTTATGCCAAATATATACACACATACGTAAGGTTATAGTAATTGTTATGTAGATTCTTTAACATAACGTAAGCATACATGTATGACATAGAATCATCAATTGGTTTCCAGATTTTATATCTGATTTAGTATGTGTCAGAGTAGATTATAAAGAAACCAGCAGATTCAGAATAATTGAATTTCAGATTTTATGCCGCGGGTTAAATAATTGTGGACAGAGCCTTTTCTATTTTGAAAATATGTTTTCATTTAATTTGATGGACGTAAATATAAGTATTCGTATGCCCACAAAATGTTCTGGATATGTATATGTTCTTTTGCCATATAGACATCTTGATACTCAATGGATGGCAGGAGAAATATTTCAGGATAATCAACGCGTCAGAACCTTAAAAATATAGTTCACATTGATGAACACTAAGAAGAGGTATAGATATATCTACATATTTTAGATATTGTATCTTAGCAATAATATGATATGTTATTGCTGAAACTTCAGGGGAAAATGAGTAATTGAATGGTAATTTGTGTTCATAAACGGATGCATGTTTAGGTTGATCATGACTTTGTAAAAATTAAATAGATAAGAATATTAAAAAACACATTAATAAACATATACATTAAATACAGAAGACTTAATCTAGTTTTTTTCGTGTATTGGCCTCTGAAGAGACCCTGCAAATGCATGCAAACGCACGATAAGACAAATAGTACAGGACGTTATCGATATAAGGAGATTCAAAACTGCTCAATTACAGATGTACATTCCTTCCCTAACGGCTACATTACCACTTTGGGATGCAACACCGCAAGTTATAGTTTACGTAGATAATAAAGAAACCTCTTACATTGCGCTTTACGATTAAAAGAATTATAAAATGGAACCACAGTCAGATAATATGTTAAAACCTTTATATTTCTAAACCATATACAAAAAGTACCTATCCTATCCCTTTGACAAGGGTCAGTAACCCTTATATCAGGGACTCGCATACAAAGACTTTTTTGTCGTTTCAATGCACATTCTATCAACAAAACATGTACTTTATCGTATCCATACCAAATGTATCTAAAACTATAAAATATTTAGTCCTACTTTACTTTAAAGATGGTTTGCGGTCTATCATCTTATAAAGAAATTCAGTGGAGACCCCTATCAAATATATTTTTGATATCAGATTTATTTTTAAACAGTATGTCATATAGTTGCATGACCGCACAACGCACCAAAAACAGCGTGAGCACATCGTGCACACACCGTCCGCACATCGTGCACATACCGTTCGCACATCGTCCACACACCGTCCATACATCGTCCACACACCGTCCACACATCGTCCACACACCGTCCATACATCGTCCACACACCGTCCACACAAATGCGCTTCTCTCCGCACAACTGTGCGATTAAGTTACAAGTGGTTGATCAATATCACGGAATGAAAAAATTCCGGAACCCTCGTATGGAATGGGGAACACTGTATACATAAATGCCCATCAAATTTATTAGGATTATGTTTAATTTTACAATGCGTGTTACACAGCATAGCTGTTACCGTTAGGCTGTCAAGAATGGGTTAAACTCTCAGTTAACAGAATAGGTAAAAATCATTTGAATGTGCCTGACAACGAGAGTTTAAATTTGTTACTCTATGACCGTTATGAAAACACAACTGGACGTGAAGGTTTTGTTATTTGCATTCGGTTTGATCTATAGCTCCCCTTCATCTTGATTGTCAAACCTTGGCGAGTTACGGAAGTGCCCCGGGTGGGGAAAACTACGGTCCAGGTACAGATACAAAGTAGTACAAGATTCCTGTATATGATTTATAAATAAACAAATGACTTTGCATACAAAACTTAACAACACAAGGTTAAAGACATTGAACATGCAGTGTGCTGCTAAAGAATGACTTCCTTGATGTCGTCATCATAATTATTATCGACTGCAGTGACCACTGGCCGTGACTTGAATGTGGTTGTTGTATGGCGTTGTCGCCGTAGTAACAATTATGTATGGTCTTTCGTTGTTGTAGTATCATCATCATAAATTATTTCACGTTAAAGTTGATAATAAAACATTGCAAATATGGACTCTATGAAACTACAAAACTTTGTCTTTCATTGTCCATGAAATTGACCACATTTGCATGAATAGAAGATGATTTGATGTCTAGTTCCATACAGTTTAGCCGGTAGAAAGGTTTTGGTATACTTATTGAAATGAGCAATATTGACAAATTTTAAAAGTTCTTACTTATACTATGCTCTTGTGCAAAAACAAAATCGGAATGATGTATTACCGACATGATTCATGACAAATAAGTTGCGAAGTCAATGTCAAATAACAGGAAGAGGGTAACAGCTATGTTTGTTTGCTAGCAGTAGACTAACGTTCACCCTGTTAGTAAACACAAGTGCCTTAACCCCGACAGCCATTGTTTGCGGGTACATGGAGTTCCTGAAACATGTTTTTGTCATTACACTACAGACATTACGCCTCTTGTCAGCGGATACATCATATGCCTGAAACATGTATTTGTATTTGTCAGCGGGTATATTGAGTGCCTGAATCATATATTTGACAGTACATAACAGACATGACCCTCCGCCCCCTTCTCCCAGTCTGAAACATGTATTTGACATATGCACCACATCAGTCGGAAAATCGATGTTTCAAAATCATGCATTTATCAGTATACAACAGCCATGGTTTTCCCCTGTCAGTGGATAAAACAGGTGTTCCAAGCGTAAACTTTCGAGTACGCTACAAATACCTCAATCATTTATTACATTGTACAACAGACTGTCGACATTTGTACTGTACTTAACATAGTGTTAGCCATATATTGTAAATATTTTATTCGTCAACAGTCTGCTATTTTTAGTGACAAGCGCATGTATGTTGGATACACTAAATTAATAACAGCTGGTATTAAGTATAGAATGATAATTATAATAAATTGTAAATTCCATTCCATCAAGTGGAGCTTGTCCAGGTCTCCGTACTACACGTATATATGGTTCATGTTAAAAATGGCATCAACATGACACTTAGGATATAGGACGGCCTCAAAATGTCTACAGAAAATCTAGTAAGTGTAACTTTGAAGTAGTTAATAAGATTAAGATGAGTTAAACTTGACTTATTTCGAAATATATTATTTGTGCTATTGACTGATGACAGCGAAAAGTAGATGAATGTTGCGAGGTATATACGTATTTAATGTAAAATACATACTTAGAATGACATCGTAAGACTCATCTTCATGAGAAAAACATAAGATACTATTGCACATAAAGAGAAGTCAACTCAGTGTAAAAGTTTGAAAATGAATTCTCGAAAGAGATGGTCACTTATCTGAGTAATGATATAAAGTTAACTGATATGTGGAACCACAAAATGGTGGTACAAGAGAGAATTGTTCAAAATGGCAGTGGTCTCTCCAGCAGAGTTACCTGTACTTGTGATGTATTTCTACTCAGATTAACAGCGAGAGGGGCATGTCCCCCACAACAACCGCCATGTTCATTGCTGGAACGCTGGCAGGTAGCGGGCTACTATCTCTACCCAAAATTGCTGATAACATTGGTAAGCTAATAGACACGATGTATAGTAAGTTTATGCAATAGGTTTGTAAGAATATGAAAACATTTAGTAGTTCAATGTGAAAATTTAGTAATTTAGTAAATGTACATACAAAATACAAATGCACCATATATGGTTATATCATCGGCGGAGGACTCGTCAGTGGTAAGGTCGAAAGAACAACTAAGAACTAGACTGAATTTTACCAAAGATGTGTATGGTTATAATAACATTGATAATAATAATAATATACAACATTTATATAGCGCCCTATATAATTTGTAAAATTACTCTAAGGCGCTTTACAACATATGGATACTAGTAATGGTTATAATTGTAAAAACAAACAACAAAAGCTTGCAATCACTTTCATACATTTAACAAGCAATGTGCACATAATTGAACAAATAAAAGGGTGGTATTTACATGACGTCTTTGCAAAGATTCTAAAATGCAGACGTGAAGAGGTGAGTTTTTATGTCCCTATGATTGACTTACAGACAAATATATTCATTATCAAAAGTAAGCATATTAGAAAAGAAAAACATCACGTGAAAAAAATTGCAAAACAATGCAAATCTAGTCTACGAATAACAGGAACAGCAAATGTTAAAGGATTTTTTTTTTAAATCGTCAATCAAAGAGTATGTTATCTAGATGTTTGCAAGCAAAGGTGATCGTTTCCTACTGACGAGAATTTTAATGAACATATTTGTGACGTCATAGAGCAGCATATGGTCACTGGTCCACCTTACAGCAGCTAGTGTCCCGTAGCTACACTCAAACAAATATAACATTTCTGCTCATTTACAGTATTGATATCAAATTTTGTGTTACTGGCTATGCCATTTTGTCTAACTGAACAGTTATTTTAGCGATTTATATAACTATAGTGATGGAGATAACTAGATTCAAAATACATCTCGAACGCTTTTGTAGTATTTAGATACATACGAGATAGTTTCCACTTATTATCTAGGCGATGATAAAATATGCAACTTTTTGTCGTTATATCTGTTATCAGTAAATTTATGAATATTTTCACTTATCGCCACACCAGCTTGGAATAAATAATCTAGGAATGAAGGATATTCGTACAACGAACTGTAACCATGAATTGGAATCTCTTTTATCAGTTTAACGTTAGGCTTAATATCTTCAATAATATTCATCAGTTTGGAAATATATGATATCAAAGTTTTCCTTTCTACACAAACAATATACGTATTAAACATGTCGCAACGTTACAAGACCGACTGGTCTCTTTGTCAAGCTATGAGTCATAGTAAAACTTTGATAACGTTAGGCTTAATAACTCAGAAATTGACATAAACTAATATCGAACGGGGAAATCAGCAACAGATTCTCCCTTTGAGGACGTGATATGTATTGGATTTTATTACGATTAAACACAGTTGGTGTCGTCGATGTAGTAGACAACGCTTCCATTCCGAAACACCTTATGTTTTTTCAATTCTCTCCATGTAGATTTTTTTTCTGAACATATTTTGCGCCAGTTGTTTCATTTACCTTTCGGTATTGCCTCGTTTGTTTTTCTGATGTATCACTCAATGTGATCAAAATGAAAGGAGATACATTGATGTTTTCAACTAGGATGGATGGGACTGGTATTGATTGTACTCTTTGCGATCCTAGCGACATATACTGGTGTAATGCTGTGTGAGGCCTGGAAAATGGCAGCTGATGTATTTGAGGACTGTAGAGGACATGTACAGAACCCTTATCAGCTACTCGCTCAAAAAACCCACGGGAAAGTAGGCAGGTTGGTCGAGACATTATGTCCTTTCACTTATTAAGTCAATATCATCAAATGATCTACCGCATATAGATAAATACAGCACGATCCTACTATGTTGGGTAAGTAGGATGATTCTCTCGATCCTGACTACAACTTCTGTCTGTTTACAGATACACCGTATCTACTTGTCTCTACATCGGTCTGGTCGGATCATCTGTTGCATTAATTGTGGTAAATGCCGATAACATGGAGACACTTTCCAATGCTTTCGGATACGAAATTTACTCATGCTACTGGATGTTGATTATAACAGGGTGCATTACTCCTTTAACCTGGTTCGGAACGCCGAAGGACTTCTGGTAAATATGTGAAAAATGTAGATTATTACGTAAATCTTCCTTTTATGTATGGACGTGTTCAATTCCAATGTATATATATTATGACAGTATGATAATAATGAATAACTTACTCACAAGCTCAAAGCCAAACATGATAACTTTTAATTTCTTCTGTCTGGTTCTTCCTTTTTGTTAGTTTATAGAATTTTAATTTACAAGAAGGTCGGTTTGTCGATTTTCCCTACAAGCGGTTGTTTTGACAAATATATTAATAATCTGTTTGTTATGGGGTACATTTCAGTCTTCCTTGACACCAAGAAATAGTTTTCAATTGTGGGTTGTTTTATGAAAGGTTATGAGGTTTTATTTTGTTTTGTTTGTTTGTTGCCTTTGATCCTGTTGATCATGTATTTTATCGACTTTTAGTTTTGATTTTGTTTTTGTCTATTGCGTTGTGGCATATTTTGTCTTGGTCTTTAACGTCACGGCATAGTATGTCTTTACTTTTAACGTCGCAAATGTATTGAAGTTGTGGTGGATTTTAATGTTTATCTTATGCAAAATGCAAACCCGTGCATGTCGGTACAATACAAATGCTATCTTTAATTTCCCATTATCAATAATGTGTTAATTGAGTATGACCGGGACGTGTTTGACCTTGGCGTGCATGTTTACACAGTTAGTCTAAGACAAATCTGTTTCTGCATTACCTAATACCACGACCTTTTACCTAAATTAACTGTTTAATTTGAGTACAAGTGAACCAAAACAGTACTGCTGATCTTCACGAGCCATAAAATATAAGAGATAATGCACCGTAAATGAAATTGCCTGAAAGCGATAAAGAGATAGGACATTTTTTCTAAATTGACCCTCAACTGGTAGATGAGATATTAAATGATGCATTAACACACTGTGTGTTTTTAAGGTGGATGGCTTATGGTGCGGTATCAACCACGGCATTATGTGTTGTCATGATAGTGATTATGTGTGTTTTGGATGCCCCGAATCAGCCGAACGTCCAGCACACAGACACTGACATACAGAAGATTACCTTAGGCATAGGGATGATAATGTATGGGTTTGGGATCCATTCTAATCTCCCTACGTTTCAAATGGACATGAAGAGACCGATGGATTATAAATTAGCAGTCATCAGTGGTTACATTAGTAAGTTGCATCATACAACGCGGACATAATAATCTACATCATAATAAGTATTTATTGTATACAAACGTAATTGGTGACATTGAGCAACACCTGGAATGTCAGGTAATGTCTTTATGATAAAACTTAACCCGCATTTGTTATAATGATACTTTTCGAGTCTGTTTATCATTTGTTGAATCTTTCACGAATGTTTATTTATTTGCAGTTACCCTCTTCATGTTCCTGCCTACGATGTTGAGCGGATTCCTTGTGTACGGGAAGAACCTGGATGATAACATATTGACGAGCCTTCCGCATGGGGCGCTGTACTATACTGTAGTTGCTGTGATCACTTTACACCTAACACTGGCCCTCATAATATTTGTCAACCCTATTCTACAGGATGTTGAGTTGTTACTCCACATACCAACAGGCTAGTTCTCTTACATCAATTGTTATTCCAGGAATTTATTGAATTCTATTAACTTGATAAAATAAACTTAAACGTTCGATTTTTCATACTGTGTCAGATATATAAAGTAATATTTGTCACAATGTTAAAAATTCACTTTTAATACAGACCAATCAAAACCGTTCCTAACATTAACTGCATCCAAATCCGCATAATTATGTTCTGGTCAGATGCATATGAAACGACGTTAGAATAAGTGAATGTAATAATACACATTTGCTTCAAACATTAAGATATTTGTATAACAACAAAATGGATAACATCTTACAAGCAAGTGGTACCACATACAAGCTGAACGTCGTGGTAGCCTATTCAAATTGGCGCACAGCCTTGTTGTCAAGTGAGACTTCATTAGAAAATGACGTCAAATATCACTCTTCAATGTTCAGCACTTTTTTCAGATGTAATAATAGGTTTGTCGATGTACCTTGAGAATGTAATGAATGGAAATTTAAGTTAAAGATGAAGTTTTGTCCTTGAATATTTCACTTATATGGCAGAATATACTAATAGTTCTGGGGAAGATTATTCCTGCCGTATCCAACTGCATGCGACTAGCATGGCCCCCCCTGCAGTTTCGGGGGGTTCACTTGTTTTCTGTTTAGGAGATACTGAAAAAACATAATTGAACTGATACCCTCACTGCAAGACCTGGGATGTGTTTTTTCTAACATTCCCACTTTTTAAATTTTAGTGTTGTCTCCCTATACCACTCGTCTTCCTATCATCTTAGCTGAAAATATTTGACCCTGAAACCTTTAAATATCCTGTATATAAAAATTACATAAGTTGTTAATTACTAAGCGTTCTGTACTTAGAGCACTTAGTGTAGTGTATAGTTTTTATAATTCCTGATAAATAGAATATAGCAAATATATATCACCGTGTCAAATACATTACAATGAAAACCTTAAAAATGTTTCCCCAACACATTACAAAACATACTTCATCGTCAATACAAATGGAATACATGAAATCTTCATTTCTGAATTACAACTTATACTATAGCGTCGATACAGCAAAAGACGCTGGCCCTTCTGGAACACCTTGTCTTATCCTCCTTGTAATTTTCCAAGGGTCTTCATATCAATATTTTCTCAATTTTCCCTTCTAGTTTTATGAATTTTTAGTTTGAATTATTCATGAGTATTGTACTAATATATTGTATTGCTTGATTGCAGAGTTTACATGGAAAAGGTGTGTCTGCCGGTCTGTAATTGCCGCGTGTCTCTTGTTCCTGTCTGCGACAATACCTAAGTTTAACTCTATACAATCCTTGGTTGGAGGGCTTTCATTTTCCATGCTGGGCTATATTTTTCCTGTACTATGTTACAAGAAAATGTGTCAAATCTATGCTGCTTTTAACTCTCAGATGACCAATACCGATAGTCTTAAAATGATTTCTTGGAAAGAACATAAAAGGTATGTAGGGGAGGAAATCGTCTTCAGGGTGTCATCCAATGATAAATTGCAATAAAAAAAAACTTCCATATATGTCTATTCATTTAAACGGTCGTGCGTAAGTATTCTACAATAAAACTCCCGACATAACTCTCAGTTTATATCAAATATATTCCAGAAAGAATGAAATACAAGAAATACCAAATGTAGTGCATTGGACATAAACATTTTGTTATCATAAATATGGAAAAAGAAACTCTCTTAACAAATCCCGTAAAATAAGCCTGTGTCTAAAATTAAATTTTTAAATTATTTGCATTGTAGAGTAATACCACTGTGGAAAGCGATGCTGAACTACGGAATCCTTGGTTTAGGGGTGTTAGCTGGGTTTGTCACATCTTTGTCCGCCATTATCAGTATCCTCAGTCCGGACTCATTCTCCTTGCCCTGCTACATCAACATCGGCTGATTGAAATCCGGTTCACAACTACGAATGCCGAATCAGGGGTCAATCAGGGTCATATACATGTTCTGGTGACATTTCATTCTAGCAAATCATTGACATTTTATTCTAGCAAATCGGTGACATTTCATTCTAGCAAATCAGTGACATTTCATTCTTGGTTATTAATGACATTTCATTCTAGCAAATCATTGGCATTTTATTCTAGCAAATCGGTGACATTTCATTCTAGCAAATAGGTGACATTTCATTCTAGCAAATCGGTGACATTTCATTCTAGCAAATCGGTGACATTTCATTCTAGCAAATCGGTGACATTTCATTCTAGCAAATAGGTGACATTTCATTCTAGCAAATCGGTGACAATTCATTCTAGCAAATCGGTGACATTTCATTCTAGCAAATCGGTGACATTTCATTCTAGCAAATCAAAAAAAACTCATCAAATGTGTCAGTGTCTTAAAACATGGGTAAATTCAAAAGCATCCGGGTATTCCATGGAGAGATCTCATACTGCTGAGAATAACATACTGGTCAGCCTTTAGAAAATGTATAAAAGCATACACAGTTATCTTTATTTGACACGGCAATAGTGTAAGTGACATAGTTTAAGATGTGCTATGCAATGAATCAATGGAATTCTATGGTGGCAGAGTTTTGCCATCGACTGATGACGTACGAGTTACGTATGTCGACACAATTTGAGAAGATGTCGACATATTCTCAGTTTACGTCAACATAATAATTTATATTATATCGACATATAACTGTATTTTCCGAGATGATTTTGCACGAGATTAATCTCACAAGTAGACAAAATCAGCTAGTTACGGCGTTAATGCTCGGGTGGGACATCGTCTTGCCACTATGTTGCAAAGTTGTTCGCAAATTACAATCCGTGGTTATATTATAGGGCTTTGCAACTATAGCTAATATCTTTTAAACTCCTGGGAAGCAAACAGCTGGTGCTGCTATTTCGGCGCTCACAGCTAGTATTCAACAATTCTAGCATTGTCCAACAACGTACTCTTGTACAGCACAGTGCCGTGACGTGACTCGAACCCGCAACCCTTCGGTCACGAGCAAGGCAAAATGAGGCTAAATCATGCTTAAACCTAATTATTATAAGCTATTAGTGAATCGCATGACAATGTCTTGGAAATATAGCTTAACTACATTTTGTTTTGCATAAATGAGTGGCACATCTGAGGATTAACATTACAAAAATCCGAGTTACCTGCTAACGTGATACTTATCTCGACAAAGTTATCTCTGAAAATGTAAAAATATGTCAACACATGGAAAATGCACAGTTAATGATAATGTTCATTAAAAAAAAATGAACTCACATACCCAAAAAATATATACTAAAGAGGTTCCGAAGGAGTGGTGGTCAGGTAATTATGACAACCTGACTTTGTAAATTTAAAACAATTTTAGAAATACTCTAGCTTTTAAAAAGTGTGTTTCAGGTTTTTTTTAAATCATATAAGGAGTTTGTTTAACATGACTTCCAACTATCAAGATGTTGGAGGCATTTTTTTCCGAAACATTCAGCTGTATAGTATAATGTTAGAAAATGTACGTGTCTCAGTTTCTAACCCATAAATGCTGTGAATCATGATGTCACAATAGAAGACATGGTTACTGTAAATTTCAACAAAATTATCAGTATTATAGATGGCAAGTTATATCAATGGTCAAGAAGAATTTTAACACATATAGGGAGAATAACTGTTCTAAAATCTCTTATCATTGCAAAAATGGATCACCTGTTTATATCTCTCCCTACTCCAAGTAAAGACATATTTCAATCATTGAACAATTTTCTTTACAATTTTATCTGGCAATCACAAATTGATAGAATAAAACGGTCAACAATTGTTCAAATCTATAGTGGGGGTGGATTTAAAATGATTGATTTAGAAAATTTTATATATGGACTTAAAATTACTTGGATTAGGAGAATACTTCTTTCTGAAGACATTGAATGGCTAAACAGGGATTGAATACATTAAAAGTATTCATACAGAAAATCAATTTTGGAAAAAAAAAATTGAAGCATGGACCAAAGTGGCGGAAATGACAAGTATTAAATATTTTGATGACCTATTCAAATCGCGGATATGGTACAATAAAAAATTTAAGATTAATAATGACCACTTTTTCTATAATGAATGGTATTTACAAAATGTAGTATTTGTTGGAGATATAATAAAAATGGATGGAGACTTTTTAAGCTATACAGATTTTAAAGAAAAGTATAATGTTACCACTGGAAATTTTCTACAATACAGAAGCATTTGCCAATCAACTAAATCATTTATGAGAGAAAATGATATAAGATCAAATAATTGATTTATTGAAAGACCATTTATACCATTTCACATCAATGTAATATTAAGGGGTAAAAAAGGAAGTAGAGACATGTACAACACCCTCATTAATAGAAGAAATCTTACTTATACAGAAAAAGTAAAATGGCTATCTAACCAACTTTTCTCCACTGTTAACTGGAGATCTAGTTTCTCGCTCCCTTTTTAAATAACAAGCGACAGTAGCTTTCAATGGTTCACTTTCAGGCTTCTTTCAAAAATACCTCCACTTAATTATTATTTGAAAGTAATTGGAATCAAACAATGTGATTTATGTAATTTATGCCAAGAAAGCAAAGAAACTATAGAACATCTTTTTTTATCAATGTCGAATAACAAATAACTTCTGGCAAGACATACTTAGATAAATATACTTAAAAACTGACCAAACTTTCGAAATAAAAGAAAATATTATACTTTTTGGCAAAACTTCTGAATTCCAAAAATCCATTCCAACTAATATCATCATGATTCATGCAAAATTCTTCATCTACTTCAGCTCCAGAAAAAAAAGAAACCCTAGTACGACTGAATTTAAAAAATATTTGTTTGATATACATGAGATTGACAAAGATAGCCCAAGGGAGGGGGAAATTGAGACCTTTGAAAAAACATGGGAATCATGGTCGAATATTTTCATACCCTAAAGCTAAAACTGCTACAAGTCTATACTATCTTATTTTAAATCCTCTATGGGTAAAGAAATTAATAAACCTAGCTAAAACCCGAGAATACTCGAGAACTATATATAGTATATATAACAACAATCAAGTATATATTTACATATAGTATTGAATATTCTAAATTATGTATGTATATATATAGGTTTATGGTATTCTATATGAATAATGCTGTGAGATGTAACTGATGATTGACATATAATCTTATAAGATTAAAAAGAACTCACATGAAACATATAGCTATGTGTATACATGTTTATGTTTTTGGTTTGTTTGTGTATGCTTATGCATGTATGTATGTACGGATGGATATATGTGCACATTCCTAGGCATGGATTGGATATATGTGTATATGTGTGCATATCTGTGTGCATGCATGCGTGTATGCATGCATATGTGTATACATGTTTAAGCATGCATATATGTATGTATGCATTCTCGATTTTCACATGTATATATGTTCTGATGACTTCCCTTGTAATAATGCTGTGTAGTAATGAAACAGTTTAGAGATCAAAAGTGACACATACTGAAGTATCCTTTTGGTTTGGATTATTGCATAAACTACATGTATTGATTTGTGCTACGTTTATGCATACATGTAGGAATGTGTGTATGTTTACAATATTTTCATATGTCATGTATGTGTGTATGTATCCTGAGTAAAAGTAAATGTGTTCAGTATACATATATGTGTGGCTGTGTGTTAGGGCTGTCGCAATATATCGGAAAACAGGTATATCGCAATACAAGGGTATATTGTTTTGTACAGAGATGAAATATTGCTGTATCTAAATATTTTTTTAAAGCTGATTTTCATGTATCTCAATCTGATTGGTAATCTAACTTTACAAATAACTACAAATTCTAACAGATATGCCAATAAACATACAAAAGGCTTTTAATAGTGGTGGGAATTAGTTCAAATTTTGTAATCGAGAGTTGGTTTAAAAACAATCCTAAATCCATGTGATCAATATTATATATGATAAAGTTTGATAACATTCTGACAACAACTTATCATAAAATCGAGCACATCTTTCTTTCTTTTCTTTTTTTATGTTTTCAGATACATCATGTAAAATATCATACGAGTATACATATATCATGTTAACATATCCTCTCACAGGAGTCACATCTTTGAATTGTTTTACTTGCTTGGGATGAGTTCTGGAGTTCAGTATCTGAGATAAAAAAAAAAATAACCAAACATTACTTATAACTAAAAGTCACATACTGTATACATTTACATCACACCACAAATGCATACACTATAACAAGACAATATATATATCCATATATATATTCTAACTAAATAATAATTTCTATCTACATTGCTATTTAAGTGAACTTCAATTGTATAAAAATTGAAAGTATAAAAATCGTATATAAGTCAGCTTTTTTTTTTTAATATCAGGATATGAAATGTGTATAAAAATGTATACATAGTATACAAGTAAATCCATTTAAAATAAAATTGTGTATTATATGTAGGTGTTTTTATTGTAACACTCCTTCACTCTTTATATATGTTTTCAATTGTATTTCATGCATAAACATATATGGATATATATAGAGTCCTATAACCTATAAACAATCTGCTATGCAAATGTAGGGGGAAGCTTTACTACCTAAGAAAGTAGGAAATCTTATTTTAAAATAGTTACATCTAAATGTCATATGGATAGGTTATTAATGATGTTGTTTTTATGTAAATACATTTTCCCACTCTTCCCATATTTTTTTTATTTGTTTACATGTATTTATGTGAACAACTTTTTCGATTGTATATCTTTGTGCAATAAATTCTTTTAACAAGTTGAAGTTAACTCTGTCTTGTCTTTTTGATGCACAAAAAAATAAGTATTTTGTAAGTAATATAAGGAAGTTGAGAGGTTGTGATGTGACAATGTTAACTGTATGTCCAAACAATATCATTTTTAAATAAAAAAAAAAACTACTGTTTTATTTGTTTTTTGTTTTATCCATTCTTCTAGTTTGGTCCAAATGGCTTGAGCTTCATTACATTCCCAAAACATATGTTCTAAATCTTCTACATTATTTTTGCATAGGTTACACTTGTCATTATTTGTTATGCCAATCTTTTTCAAATATTTATTTATTGGTAGAATTTGATTTTGAATTTTATACTGAAACCATTGTAGTTTTGTATCTTTGGTAGTCTTAAAGGGTAGTAAATAAATTGTATTCCAGTTCAAATATTAGAAAATAGGATTTATTTTCCATTTAATTTCTGATGTATTGACTATGTTTTTGTGGTTTTGCTCTGTAATTGCATAATAGAAATCTCCACTGCCTTTTTTATTTTTAAATAGAATTTGAGTGTGAAAGGTAAATAAGGTCTTACAATAGTATTGTTATTCAGATATACCTTACATTTTTAATCACAGATTTAATGGATGCACACAGACTATGGTAACTTAAGAAATTATTCGATATTACAGAAAACTTGTCTTTGAAATCTTCAAAATTTAGAAATGCTCCATCTCCTTTCATTATGTCAACTACTGTATTTACATTATTCTTATGCCAGTCTTCAAAATAAATGTATTGATTCCCTATCTTAAAGTTAGAATTGTACCATAACCGGGAGGTAAGAAGGTCAGTTTTGGTTCTTATTTTATTTAGTTTTGACACTTTTATCCATGTGTTTAGGACTTCTTTCCAAAATAAATTTGTTATATTTAAGTTTTCAAAGAAACCTTCACCAAATTTTGAAAGGCACTGTATGGAACATATTCCATGTTCAAAAATGTTTTTCCATTCCCTATCACCAGATGTCAAAAGTCTTCTTACCCAAGTAGATTTTAAACTATCAATAAAGTTCCCTATATCTATCATTTTTAAACCTCCTCTGTTGTATTGTTTAATTAGAGTGTTCCTTTTCACTTTATCAATAGGTCCTTGCCATATAAATTAAAAAAAAGTAGAATTAAATGTTTTACTAAAAGCTCTGTCTGGATTCGGTATAGTCATAAAGAGATGAATCATTTTTGAAAGTATTAATGTTTTTAAAACAGTTATTCTACCTATTGGTGTAAGTATTCTTTTAGACCATTGTAGTAATGATTTATCTAAATTTTGTATAGCTTTATTATAGTTAATGTTAATCATTTCATCTAAGTTGACAGAGTAATCTATTCCAAGAAGGTTAAATTTTGTAATCCCCAATTTTATTTTTTATCTATGGTGGTAGACGTCTTGACTGAATTTTTTACTTCCTATCCATATCAATTCTGTTTTGTCACTTTTTACCTTAAGACCTGATATTTGAGCAAATAACTCTAACATTTTGAGTGCCTCATTGAAAGATTTCCTAGAACCATTTAAAATAAGAGATGTGTCATCTGCAAACTTTGAGAGCTTGTGTTCTTTTTTCCTTACTTTGATACCCTTAACTTTTGCATTGTTTTAACCATAATTGCCAATATTTCTGCAAAGTATGAAAAGATATGGTGAGACAGGGTCACCCTGACGGCAGCTGCGTTCTATAGTGAAAACATTGTATAATAGCTGATGAAGTGTCTTTATATAGTGTATTGATCCAATGTCTGATACTCGGTCCAAAATTAAAAAAAATATTACTTTGTCTAGAAACTTCAATGATACCGAGTCGAAGGTCTTTTCAAAATCTATTAAAACCAATGATCCAGGAATGTCATTATTTTTTGTATACTTCATTATGTCATATATTAATCTAGTATTCTCTCCAATAAACCTACCCTTTAAAAAACCTGTTTGTGTATCTGAAATTATAAAATCAAAAATTGTTTTCATTCTGTTGGCTATGCATGCTGAGGCTAATTTGTAAATTGTATTTAATAATGTAATAGGCCTCCAGTTTTTTAAAAATTGTCTTGGTTTTTATCCTTTTGGAATACATGTAATAATACCTAGCCTTTGATTTGTGGAAAAAGATCCTTTAGTATATCCCTGGTTTTGTGATCTCAATATGAAATATTTAAGTTCTGGCCAAAAAACATTAAAAAAATCTGCAGGAAAGCCATCTGTTCCAGGCGATTTACAGTTTTTCATATTAGTTAAAGCTTTTCCAAGCTCTGCTTCTGTTCAATTTCCTTCTACTGTTTCATTTTGATTGTCTGCTAATTTATTTAAATCAAATTCTTTAAGTAAGTTGTCTTGATTAACATCTTCTATACCCTTAGACTGTTCACTGTAAAGTTTTGTGTAAAATGCTTCTACTTCTTTCAGGATTTCCTTTTGTTCAGTAATTATTTCTCCATTAACTTTTTCTAGTTTATATATTGTTTTGTAAGTAAAATTTCTAGACTCCAGACTGCAGAAGTATTTTGTCGCCTTTTCCCCCTCTTCTATCCAGTTAACTTTAGACCTAATTAAATGTCCATTCAATTTTGTTTGTCTGATGGTTTCTAATTCTCCTTTTTCTTGGTGTAAAATATCAAATTTATTTGCTAAATTGTCTTCAGATTCTATCCTATTCATACTTTCCATTAATTCTTTTTCTTGTCTTTTTGTCTTTTTGCCTTCTGTATTGCATGAGAAATACTTGTGCTTCTAATTTCCATCAGTAGAGTTTCTAAAAAAAAGTTGGTCGTCGATTGAAAATCTAATATCTTTATTTTCAATTTCTTCTATATTTCCATCATATGTACTATCTGCATATTGTTTTTTTATACGTTCAATTGTATCTTTTACCTTCTTCACATATTCATTATCATAAAGTAAACTAGTGTTAAATTTCCATAGTCCCTTACCCTGTTCAAAATTGTTAGTCTTTATTTCTAATATAATGATCGAATGGTCTGTTCTATATCCTGGTTTAATATCTGCTTTATCTACTATATTGTTGTAAGGAAGAAATCTAGCCTAGCTTGCTTAATTGGTGTTTTTTTCCTCCATGAGTACCTACGGAAGTCTGGATGTAGTATCCCAAAACAGTCAGATAGATTATATTCTTCAACTATATCAAGTATTTTTTGCCTAGCCTTAGGATTGTTTACATTTCTATAATTATAGGTATCTTTTTCTGGGTTAAGTACAATATTGTAATCTCCACATATAATGATTTCTGTATTGTCAAGTTCATCTAGAGTCTTTTTTTTTTTTTTAAGCGTTAATCTTCTTTTCTCAATTGTAATATCAACAGCTATAAAATTGCCACCTCTATCTTTTTTCACTTCGTGTATATAAAATTCAAAATTATTATTAAACATAATACTCACGCCTCTACAATTTGACAGATAAGAAATAAATATACACTTTAAACCCCACTGTGACTCAATATGATTCTCTATTTCAGGTGCAAAATGAGTGTCTTGGAGACAAAAAATATTAAAATCCCTTAAAAAAAATGTAAATAATTCAGTACACCAAGTCTTTTTTCCTTTGACCCCAAGCCCTGATAGTTTGCAGACATGATTTTTATACAATCAGACATAATCTAAACCAGTTGTAAGTCTTATCGATGAGGCACACATTTGTAATAGTTTTAAAACAATTATAGACAGTATCATATATCATAAAGTCAGTGACAAATATGTTTTTCCATTTGATCTCCTCCCTTTGCAAGCATTCCCCTTTTAAGTTAAGCGATACCACACATACATAAAACACTGAATGCATATAACAATTAAATACAAAAAGTACTATGTACATGTATATTCTAAAAAGGAATCTAAACGTACTTCTGAAAATACCAATTCCCAGGTACAGCTAGCCTGTGTTATATTTATGATATTGTGGTTGATTATGTCCCTTCGATTAGGTCGATCGATCAATTATACTTTAATA